CTAAACACTAAATGGTGGGAAAGCAGTTCTGTCCCGTTTCAGGGGGTCTATCTTCACTCACTGCCTGACGTGTGCGAATGGATCATGGGAAAGGAATGCTGTGTTATCCTGGCGTCAAAATAGGACAGTTCTGATGGCTTTAGTGATAAAATGGAAACAGTATGACTGAGACGCACATTGTAGTTGCTTAGAAGAAATGAATTTACAAGGGAATTTCCATAAATGTGCTCTCCAAGGACTCTGGGGGAAAAATAAATAAATCTTTATAACTACTTCCACTTAATTTCTGTCCACACATTCCCGAACTCCACGAGTGTGTTGAGTTTACTCATTTCCCTTCAAAGTGGAAAATTCTTTCTGTTTCAAGTGTTTGAACTGTGGGTGTTTTTATCTTCAGTTTGGATAAACATTAACTGTTCTCATCCTTGAGACCTTACCGGTTCTCCTGTGGTTGGAGAAACATTTAGATGTTTACCTTTTAATATGCCTGTTTGAGACTGTAAGGTGTTGGTGTTTGTACAAAAAGTTTTTAGCAAATATGTAACAAGATCGCAATAATTTAATTTAAAAAAATATTTTTCTCAAAATGTATATAGCATTGATCATTACAGCTATCTGTATCATGTATTTTAGTCCTGGCATACAGAATTAAACAAAAATGTTTCTCAAACTTTGTCCAAACTGGTGAAGTTTTAAGCTTGCTGTGTCACATAGTGTAGCTTTTTCTATTCTGCTCTATAGAAGCTCATGTTAGTCAGGCTATGTGCTTCTGTAGCCAGCTTACAATTGGTTGCTTTATGGACATGCTGCTAATAAGAGTTTCCACACCCTCACTGTTTCTGCTTTTCCGTAAATTTAAATATTTCCAAACATCAAAGTTTGTCTTGTTTTGTGTGCATGGAAGAAGCTTTGTAGTCTTAGTTCAGTTTGCAGAATCTTGGTTCACAGCAACAGGTTTTTCCTGTCTCCGTAGAGACGGAGAAGACGTTGGCATCTTCTCTGGCAGCCAATTGAAAATATTTACAAGAGTAAGAACTGTAATGTGGAACATTGTTGCGTTTTGTTTTATTTTTAAGTCATTTTAGTTTGCTTTATCAAGATGTAAACTTTACAGAGAGATAATAAATTTGTGGTTTCTTGCCAGCTTGCCAGACAAATCTCTTAATCCACCAAACCACCACAGCTCTCGCTCCATCACATAGCAAAGGATCTTTGTTCCCAAACTTTTTCGAGGCTAACTTTCTTGATGTCCCTCCCTTTGTACTAGAAGGCTTGCTTACTATTTGTGTGTCATTACCGGTAATTACTTTCTAAACCATAAAAAATGCTGTTAAAAGCTTCTGTGTCATAAAACTGACAATGTGATTTAGTCTGCTGGATGAATCGGTTCTCTTTTTATTGCTGACTGCAAGAGCACACAGATATAAAGAAGGCCACCGGGGCATTGAGTTGTGCAGTTTACAACCATAATAGATTATGTAAGATTTTAATGTCAACTTTTGGTATTTCTAAGTTTTGCTGCCTCAGAGGAGCTCATGAGTGGACATTTTCTGACCTGAAGTATTGAGTGATCTTTGAGAATCCTATATGTAGCTTTCCTCAATTATCCCCCTATTATGGGTTGACCTCACATCATGTGTAAAATATGCAACAAGACCTAAACATTGCCGTTATCTGTTCACAGGAGAGTAATAATACTTGTTTCAAAATGTTGTTTTTATATAAAAATCAGACTGCCCTTAAATGGTAACTTTTGAACTTCAGTTTATTGTAGAGACGTTTTATGCTGTTACTTTATACGCTTAGAAATGAAACTCTTTTCAATGTTTGCTTTATTCTCTTATTTTAGTAGCTAACAGAACACAAATCTAACTTAAATACAAACACTAAGGGGCATACAAATTCTTTTAAATGTATACATATTAATTAAATGGTTTCCCATTTTGTCACTTTATAATTTCACACTCACATATTTAGTAATAATCAATAGAGTCTGTAAATATTGTTGTCAGTGCTTTCGATTTATGCTCACTTAGTTTGGTCTATTTTTGCAAAGAAGAACTGGCAACTATTCCAGTTTTTGGATGTGTGAAGCTGGTAGAGACAAACCTCAAAAGACTTGCAACTGAAGTGAAAACTCCTTCTACAAAGTTGACTGCTGGGACTCAACACATGCACGCCATGCTGTGCACTTCTTTGTGTTGGCCTGTCACTTAAAATCTCATCAAAATTCATTCAAATTTTCAATTTAAATGCGACAAAATGTGAAAGATTTCAAAGAATGTGAAGATTTGTGACAAAATGTGTTTTTTATATATATATATATATATATATATATATATATATATATATATAATTGTTTTCCTTCTCTCTGTGCCAAGTTTCATGCAAAATGCAATAGCCCTCTGTCTCTAATAGCACATTTAATACCTGTTCTACAGCAGTCACTTTCTGACACGAGTTACTGAACTGAAAAGTCTTCCCTCATGAAATGAAACCCAGACCATTGTTGGTGTGCACTGTTCTGCTAATTCAGTGGTGGTAAGATAAAAAAAAAGTCTTCCTCATATAGTCTAGTTGAGCAGAGCTTGTTAAAAGCTACAGTTTTATCACACGTGAACATTGCCGTTAGTAGTACTTTTCCACATTTTAAACAAGCTTATTTTCTTCAAGGTTTTAGTAGCAACAAAGATTATTTACTCCCCATTTTATTCTTGGCCTGGTATTTTTTTTTTTATTTGAAACAAAAATGTGAAGTTTGTCTTGTTTTGCTTTGAGCCGAACACAAATGTGAGATGTGTTCGGCAGCACTCATTTCAGAGTAAGTTGTCTGTACATGTGATAATGCAAAGCAGTGAGTTGACCTGAGGGCAGAACAGTCAATCTTTTATTGCACAACACTCTCAGGGTAACTGATACTGTCTATAAGTTTTATTGTTGTTGCTCTGAAATTCCATACTGCTCCTTTATTTATTTATTTATTTTTTAGGTCTCTGTACGCAGCACAGAGTCTTAAAAGTGTGGGAAAGTATGAAAATCATCTTTAAATAGTTATAAGGTCTGGAAAAGTCTAGAACAAAGAAAACATGGAGCATGCTTCCATAACTATACTGTTGTTAAACTGAAAAGTTGGTGCTATATTTGAGTGAAGTTATTGCATGATTAGAATGAAGAAGCAAATCGTTCAGAGATTGGCAACATGATTAGAAACACCAACCACCAACTAAACTGATGTGAACACGATGTGTAAAACACCACTTTTTTTTTTTTTCCATTTAACATTTTACCATGAAAAAAGTGTTAAATGAAACAACAGAAGCATTATTGTTAAATACCTTTGTTTAGATTTTAGCTTTTTATTCTGTTTTAAATAAATAATCTTGATCCCTGAAGAAATCTCTGATGACAAGTCCAAGAAGAATTTTGTTTATAGAAATCTAGAAAACGTGTCAATGGACAGCATTTGATGAGAAACTAATGTTTTAAGTTTATGAATAAATACACGTAAGATACACAATGCAGTTCATAATAGTTGTGCTTAACATGGTTTCTTTTCACATTTTTTGCAGATTAAAAACTACGACTATTCTTTCATTTTAGTTGGTGTCTAAAATTTATTTAATACCATCCCAGTACCATGATGAGTTTGTTGCTCTGAAAGCTTTATTTACGTTTCATTTAAGTGGCCCCCTCAAGTTTAGAGGACCACTTACAGAGTTATTGCGGGCCGGATTTGACCTCCAGGCCTTAAGTTTAATGTGGTTTAATGATTTTAAGTATTAAACATCTGAAAAGCATTACTTTTACAACTTCTGATACCATCTCTCTTTATAGATCTATATGCCTATAAAATTCTGTCGATATGAAGCAGAAAACAGTACTTAGGTCATTTAAAGCTTTTGTTTCTCTTCTTTAATGTTATTTTGATCTTACTTGGTACTATAGCTCCTAAAGCTCCTCTTCTTAGGCTCAGCTCCCAAACTAACAACACATTTTTTTTTTGTCTTTGGCCTTAGTCTGTATCATTCTTTTCAGTTATTTGTTGAGTCTTATTAACTTCCTGTTTTTCTTGCAGTGGGTAAAAAAGTCCAGTGTTTCTGTGCAGGGACGGCATTCATTAAAGTAAATAAAAAGCCCTCCGCTGCAAATTTCCCACAAAGAGCGTACAATTATAAGGGACAAGCCTTTTTGATCGCTGTTTATAGTGAAACAAAGTGATGCCAGTCAATTTCCAACTTCATGCAGGTGATTTTTGTCACCTGGAAAATTGTTTTGCATACATGATTCTATCTGGGGCTGCACAGAAAGGATTCGGCATGTTTTGGTGGAAAAGCAAAGGTGAATATAGCTGAGTTCTTAGTCTTATTCATGATCTCATTTGTTGTGTAAGCACCAGACTTTTTGCCGACCTGAGTTTACTACACAAAAGGGGCAATGAGGGCAGCAGAGCAGAAAGGAAAAAACAGACGTTAGGAATTTCAGCACTGCATATTAACAAAAATAATAAAAAAAAGTTTGTATGCTAGAAGATCCCAGCAGGACATTATGTTGTCCACTCCCTCCACTACCGGTTTTCCCTCATTTCTCCATTTTTTTTCATCTTGTTAGACAGAAGCTTCATTCTCTCTACTCAAGAAATAAACACCATGTCAACTTGCCCTCCCTGGAACGCTCATGTTAAGTCATTTCACTGCACTGTGTGCTTATTCAGTGACATAAATAGGTAGGAGTGCACAAACGCATCATAGGGATATGAAAATATTTGTCCTCTTTGTCTTTTCATTCACAGTACGAAAAACCAAATTATGTGTTAGATAATAAAACACTGATCACAAGAAATTCCTTTTGTGGACTGATCTATGTTTTGTATCTCATGTCTTATGTATATTTTATCTAAATTTCAGAGCCAAGACTCTTCGATGATTTAATAGATTATGAAGACAGTAGGTATTTAAATAAGAAAACATATTAACCACTTTAAAACTTTGCTCTGTTTGCAGTTTTGATGTGGAGAATGGCCCATCAGCTAGCTGCAGCCCACTGGACCCCCAGGCGTCCCCTGGCTCGGGTCTGGTGCTCCACACCAACTTCCCGGGACATAACCAGCGCCGGGAGTCCTTCCTGTATCGCTCTGACAGCGACTATGAGCTTTCCCCCAAGTCCATGTCACGAAACTCCTCTATCGCCTCTGAACTGTAAGTTATTGTACCATTGAGACGTTTAAAAACAAATAATGGTGTTGGTCTGTCCTTTGCAGCTGCAACAGCTCTGACTCCTCTGGGAAGTTTTTCCACACAGTTTAGAAATGTATTTCTACTATTTGATCATTTTTCTAGGAGAGCATTTGTGAGATCAGACACTGGTGTTGGTCATCCTATTTATTCTAAAAGCATTGTCTGTTTGAAGTCGGCGCTTTAATGAAGCTCTCTGGGTACTGTTCTTAAGATAATCTGGAGGTCACACAAAATCCTGAGGCCTGTAGCTGTTGACTCTGCAGACAGTTGGTGATTCCAGCATACTGGAATCAGCAACTGATTCCAGTTAGTGATTCCAACTGGAATCAGCAACTGATTCCAACTGATTCCAACTGAATCAGTTGGAATGGCCAAGTTGTTGTTGTTTCCAGCTTCTTCAGTTTTTTTAATATCACTTAAAATTGACTTTGGAGGGTTTTGTGCTAAGAAAATTTCATAAAACATTTGATTTCCCAAACTATGATGGGAGGCACAGTATCTTAGACTCTAAGTGCTGGATTTCATACTCTTTTGGCTGCAGAAGAGACCAAAACACTTGCATTCATTAATTAGGAGGATCTCCTTTAGGAGCTTTTGAAATTGCAAATTTCTCCAAGTTGATTGATGATATTGCAGGATTGGATCTACAACTTTGAACAATCCAATATTGCAGCTCCCTTGTCACTACTCCCATTAGACTATACCTACAGCACGCTGAGAGCTGAGGGAACAAAAGTTGAATAACTTCTCACAAACAAAATGACAACATTCTGTGCGTATGATACTGAAGTTCAACTATGTATCCTCACTAAGAAGCACAGCAGTTTTCCTTTAAATAAATAAGACTTAAAGAAAAGGTCAGGTATCTTGCTCAGTTTAAATGAAAGCAGCACAATCACCTCTGTTTTCACCTCTGACCATTCTGCAAATGAATGGTAATGTAATTACAGTTATATAAAGCAGGGGTTGTGATCTTAATCTGGAGCTCTTACCTAAAAATAACTAAGTCCAGAAGCCTGACAGCACTCTAAAATTTGCTACTCTCAAAAATATTGCCATAAAAATGTATTACCTTGTTTTCATTTGGTTAACATAAAATCGCTAAACATCCCAATAACTTTTCCATTAAACATGTCAACAGGGTAAAGACAGATTTGATGTCATTTAATGTTTTTTACTTCCCAATTGTTAAATGCTTTTAGATCAAATTGTTTACTCACTTAGACATTGTCTGAATGCCACTCACTGAAACAGAAGGAGGAAGTTATTTAAGTCACATCATATTTTATGTTTGCACTTGTTGCACAGTATTTACCATTTCTAAGAGATGCTTTACTTTCCAATTATGTGAAAAGATATTTGGGGCATATTGCTTTTTATAATTTACTTACTGTATTTCTCCCCATGCAGACATGGCGATGACCTGATTGTAACTCCATTTGCTCAGGTAAACACCTCATTGTCTGCTTTCTGGAATGTTCCTGTTTTCTTTCATTTCCCTATTGATGAATAATGTTTGCTGAACCATGTTCGACAAAACTAAGCCAAATAAAACAAATATTTAATGGCCGTGTAATACATAAAAAAACTGGCTGCTAAACTAACAAGCACAAAGGATGCCACTGATCACCTCTCTCACTTCCTTTGTAGGTTTTGGCAAGCCTTCGAAGTGTGAGGAATAACTTCACTGTTCTGACAAATGTCCAGTGTGCCTCCAGCAAGTAAGTATGACACCATCAAAGACCAGGCACATATATTTTTTCCTGCTTTGAGAATACATCAGCAGTTGCTCACAACATTGTAAAAATACCTCAATCAGTCATAAAAAAGAACAAACATATACAAATCTGCATCTGCAATCAAGTTCAATGTTTATTCTAAATAAACATAGACAGAAAATTACATACCCTGAAACCGGTATTTTATATATATATATATATATATATATATATATATATATATATATATATATAAAACAAAGCACATTAAGAATTCAGATTGCAACTACATCCATTTTCCACATGGTGTCAGTATCTAGTTGTAAATAAAATTGAGGTTAGACGTGTGACATCACTGCTGTTCCCACCACTCACCAGCTGAGATGCTAGTTGGAGCAACAAACACTACCCTCATACAAATACACAGATTGAGACCATCTGCGAAGAGTTTTAACATTTTGCAGTAATAATAATTTGTCACATTTAATAATTTGTTGCAACTGATTTTTGCAGTGTAAACAACCTTTTTGTAAAATTTCTTGAAGGTAAACTGATGTACAAAGAGCTGCTTTGTTGTTCTGAGGCAAATGCAGTCCCACATGGACCCACTTATTGTTTTTCAGTGTTCACTGAGGCTGCAAAAATAAGTTTTACATTTTTAAGTGTGACAGCAACATTGTTTTTCTTACAGAATCATCAATATTCTTCAGCATCAGTAGTCGGTACTGATTCATTTGCTCTTAAAACATTTGAATCATAGTAGGTCACCTTACTATGTTCTTTCCTAAGTGAGGGCTTATTTATTTGTGCATATTTCACTTTCTAAACATGCCAAGAGCAGTCTGCTCCAGCAGCCACCAGATTAACAGTTGGAATGGAGTTCTGTCTACCTGAAGGCTGTGTGACCTACATTCATCTGACTCTCCTTCAGAGACAGGAGTGAAGAGCTAGAGACAAGGGCATGTCGACAGACAATGGCAAATATATTAATATGCAAACTCAGTATACTTATTCTACACAGAATGTTACATGCAAAATTCAGTGTTTTTTACACCTCCTTAGTACGAATTCACACATTATCATTGAAGTTATCTATTGTGACAAGCTACACAGCATTGGCCATGCTGACAGTTAACTCGTTATAAGCAAGGATATTTAATTTTCCTTTAATATCCTTTAGCATAGATTCCAACTTTTGTAGATAAGTTTGAATCCCACCCAGTTTCTCATCTTTCATCTCAGAAACATCAGTTTTGTCTTCTTTTTCTAAAGCAATAGTGACGGGATTGAGACTAGACATGAAATGTAAAACGTCACAGAAGAGCACAGAATAAACTAGTCTAAAAGTAGCCTAACAGGAGCAACCTCAAGTTGCATATTGGCAAAAGAATCTGATTTGGTTTGTATTTGTCTGCTGTGTGAACATAGCATAAAATTGTCTGCTGAACAATTTGTATTAAGATTCTTGGCATTAAGTAGATAACATTACTTAATCAGGCAGCTCTGATTGTGAAGCAGCTAAACCAAGGGAAATAAGATTTTTGGAAATGCTGAAAATATCCATGGTGAAGATTCACTCACCATTGCATGCATAATGCTGAAATAAGTAAATAACTGAAAAAGATCAGTAATACCACAATAAAAAATGACCTACTCCTTCCTTACATCGTATCAAATTGCTGCGATGTACGTCTACTTCCTTATAACTGTGATCCAAAGAACATCTTCAAGATATAGATGTGACCAGTGTTTCATAGAAATGCATGCAATAAGAGTTTGTATACAAACAAAAAATAATCCCTGCACCAATGTTATTAAACAGCTCAATTAGAGATTACATAAAACTTGAATGCATCCTTTTGGTAGCATAAAAACGTTAAAAATATGTTAAAAACACCCCTAGCTTCCTTAATGTGCATACCTGAACATTTATTGTTCTTAAGAAGATAAAACATAAAGTATATATATTTTTTTATCCTGCCCCCTCATGCCCTTGAGCAAAGCTAACATAGCATCTGCTTGGCTTCATTGTTTTCTTTCCCTTTATTGTGCAAAAAGTAAAAAATGTTTAAATTTTGGATAGGAACTGTATTTTCTACGTTATTGGACTAAATATACATGTATAGTTTATAATTTTTACTTCATATCATTTTTCTTTCTTTTTCTTCAACCAGGAGGTCTCCAGCAGCAACAACTCAGCCTCCAATCACCAGAGTCTGTCTGCCTGGTAAGAAGTCTCATGTGATATCTCGGCTCTAATTAAGGTTTTACTTATCTGAGTTACATCTGACAGAATATGTCTTCCTCCTTTAGCCCCCTAAATCACTCTTTTCTTTATTCATATTTTTTCTTTCTTTAACTCGCCTACGTGACAACTCTCACTTTTTTGCCATCTGTCTGCAGCCCCAACGCTGTGCTCCAGACAAGTTTGTCATCAACCTCATTAACATTGTTCAAACACATTTTATCAGGCAGCTCAGACAAAAAAATACAAAAAAAAAACTTGTCTATGCACATACAGTCTTGCAAATACACAGCTGTGTGTGTTACAGCATCTCGTTCCAAGATAACAGCAAAACTCTGTCTTTCATCATATTTAACTTTAAACCGCTGTGTGAGAGTTTGTGAGCTGTGGTGTGTCCACATGTATGTCTAGATCTTAAAGACGTGTGAGAATCTGTGGTTACGCCTTTAGGATTTTCTGAGCAGTCTGTAATACAATGTAGGTATACATGGGAAATACATGATTTAAGTTGCTCTACTTTTCTAAAGAAAAAAAAATCTTCTGAATTTTTTTGTCTTTTTATTATTGTACAGTTGCAACTTAAAACAACACTTAAAATGGGTGGTATATGTGTTCCAGGCACGTACTGCCATCTGATGGTGCAATCAAATAACTGTTACCTTCAGTTATTCTAAAATGTTTTATATATCAAACATGACTTAAAGAAAATTAACTTTGTAATCTAATGCCTTGAAATTGTGCCCCTGTCTCTTTGAGAAGCTCCTGTTCTTCATGACGCTCTACCTTCAGCAGGCCATCACATCAGTGCATCTCATCATGCCTTTAACCACCGTTTGACTGAGACGTAGTTTGTATGATAAAGATCAGCAGAAGCACATTTCAGCAAAGTGTTTACTAATTGTTACTGACGTTAGTCTGAAGGAACTGAGAGGGGGAAGTGGTGTTTTGTGAGAGCTGGCGATTAGGCACCCCCAAATGGAGCCTATCAAGGCATCAGAGAGTCAAAGGATTCCTCAAACATGGATGAAAGAATCAAACCAACTCCAAGTATATATAATTTTTTGATAGTTGTCAAGACATAAAGGCCCACTTTTAACTTTGGTATTGACCAACAAATCTGAATTTTGATTAAATATTGCAGCTGATGTCAGCAATGATGTCCATACACCAAGCAGAATACATTTGAAAGTATATATATTTATATATCTTTACTGTCAGAATATTGTTTTGATATTTGGGGCATCATCATTAACACTAAGTTATGTATTTTGTGTTACCAAAATATGGAAATTTAATTTAAAAAATAGTAATGAGATAGGTCACTGTCGACATAGAGCAATGCCTACTGACGTCTTTTGCTTCACACCTATTGGCCCTTCATGTTTTGCACTGTCAGGTCAGAACAAGAACAACAAACATGTTGAGTTTTAAAGAGCGAGGCGATTCACAATGAAACTGAGAACAGTGAGGGTTTTAAACATCAAATACCATGTTTTAAAAGAAACCCACTCGGGTCAAATGTGACGAAAACATAGGACAAGTGAAACTACAGAGTTGGGCAGTTCAGTAAAGGTTAGTTCTGTTTTCATACATCTTTCCTTTACCCTGGCTTCTGCAACATGCATCATTTAATTTCAGTCTCTATTTGGACCAAATTACAGCCAGAAGTTAAAAAAAAATTCTAAAAAATTGTCACATATAATACAGATGCGACCAGTTTTCAGATAACTCTGGTTTGTAAAGCTTGAATCTTGTTGCTCACTTTGGATGCCGAGTATATTTGTGCAAAAGACTCTTCATTTTAGTGTTAAATGGCCCTGTGAGCATTTCATTGTTTTAAACAGTTTAAAAGTTCCCTCGCTTAGTGTTGCGATTGTGGACCGATGTGAGATCTGATGTTATTGAGTCTATCAAGGCATATATGCATCATTTATGAGTAATGTGAAGCGTGTGTGTGAGTGTGTGTGTGTTATGGGGAGGTGTTCCTGTGGTTCTAATTGACGTCAGCACGCCTGTATGTGGCTTCTGTTGACTTCCTGTTAAAGCAGATGGACTGAGTTTTCACTTCCTTCTTCAGAACCGCAGCTCATCAGGTGCTCATGAGTTTGACTACAAGAGTTTGTGTGTGTGAGCGTGTGCGTGAGCGAGCGTGTGTGTCTGGGTGTGCAAAGGAGTGTGCCTCATAAAGCTCCATGTTGTGAAATGTGACCTATTTTGCTGCGATTATGAGTTACATTTAGGAGCATTTTTTGTTTGTTTTGTTTTTATATGTTTTTACATTTTTAAATATATTACTTCGTTGATCATAACTGGAAACAAGAAATGAGATGCAAAACCCCAGACTGAATACGACTGTGTAACGCTAACAACTGATGCCTGCAGTTTAAAATAACATATAGGCTGCAGAAATTTTGGAAACCAACTAAATGAGCCATATGGTTAAAGTGACATTTTGAGCATTTTTACCATAAACGGTTTGATCTTGAACATTGCACAAGCCAGCTCCTTTCAGAAAACCTATAAAAACATTTTGGATTTTTTTTATAGCTTTGCAGCATTAATCTTTCATTACACTGCTTGCTCATGCTTTTCAATTTAATGATTTTTTTTCTCTCTCATTTTTATATTTTAGAGTCAAAGTTATTGTATGCATAGATTAATCTCCAAGACTTGCTGAACTTATTTTGGTTTTTATCTAATTACTAGTTGCAGAGTATTCAGAGGTTTTGCAAAAGTTGCTGCTTTAAAACTGCAAACAATTCCACTGCTGCAATTTAAAGTCTTCTTAAGTGTCAGATTGATTTGTATTTACTTCCACTTTATGGGGTAGTCTAAGCCAAACCGTCTCCCACTTGTTGCTGAGGCAGGTATCCAAATACCTGAGTTTTTTTTTTTTTTGTTTTTTTGTTTTTGTTTTTTACAAATAAAGACAATGCATTGGGTTTGTGCTATAGCTTATACAGCCCCCCCCCAACCCACATTCACACAATTTCCTCTCAGCTAGATTTCATTCAGTTCTCATGATCTCAGACCACATCCTCACTGAAGGCAGCCCACAGTCACATAAAAAACACAAATTTACAATAAAGACCCCCCACACATCTACCCCTCCCTTCCAGTTCTTCCTCTCTGCCTCTGTCCTCTCTTCTCTTATTTATTCCAGCTTGTGTTTTTGCTACTTCTTGTTTTCATTCATCTTTTTGTTTTACTTCTCTTTGATTCGGGAGTTGCTGGACCAGGAAATATGAGGCAGGAAGAGAATATCGGATTGTTCCTGTTTTGTTGTCTCTCAGCTGTTGTAGCTTGATGGGTGGAAACCATGCAAAGACCAAGTGTGTATGTGGGGAAAAATAGGATGCAGAAAGACAAAGGCCTATTGTCTGTCTCCACACACTGCACAGACTGACAAACTGATACATAACATGATATATGTAGTACATAAATATTTGAAATAAATGCAGGTGAAGCTGTGAACCTTACTTTACTGTTTTTGTACCAGATGTGTAAAATTCTTTAAAAGAAACTTAACTTTTATTGTAGTGCTATTTACACTAGCAAAACAAATAGAAGGTAACTTTAATGAGTGCATTTATTCTTTGAGCAAAATATTCCACTTTAAAATAGAATTTCCCATCATTTGTCGCTTCCCTACAATCATTAGAAAATAAATGTCACTGAAGTTTTCCCTTGATACATTATTCACTTTTTTAAGTGAATCGGAGAGTTGAGGAACTTTTATTTAGTAAACCGAGACAAAACGTTTTGGATTACCAAATAAAAGTTCCTAACTTTTACCTCACCACTGTTCACAGTGGGGCGCTTGTAGAGGAGATTTTTTAAATAATCTGCCCAAAGAACACAATGGTAGTTTGTCATTGTTGGATCATGCAATAAAGATGCATTTGTTTAAAGGTTTCTACACATTGCTGTTAACAGTTTACCAGTGATTCCAGTTAGTATGCAGGTTGATGAGTGAGTTGAGACATTTGTTTTGAATTGGCTCTATGTACAGTACATTGATTACAGTTGTTAGGATTGACCCACCTATAAAATACTGACGGGGGTCATTGAGATGTGAGCCACTAAACCTTAAGGGGTTCATAAACTCTAATGATCATGAATCAAATCCAAATTACAAAAGATGGAAACTTTTTTCTTCTTTTATCCCAAGTTACATAATTTCAATTATGTAACATTCAGGCTGCATTCCCTAATCAGTTAAATGTAGGAGTTAAGGGGAACTTGCACAACCTGTAAGAACAGTGGATGAACTTCCATTTATAATATTTGTATTCAATTAATTTTGAGTGGAAAAACCCAGAGAATGCATTGTTTTCCAGTACATTGTCTGCTAAAGTTTCGGTATAAAATCTCAGAGCACCCTGTACACACCAATGTTGTCATGCCACATATCCAAAACCAGCAGAAAACCAGCAGAAATGGTCATCCCTCAGTTATAGCCGTGGACTTTCTCATCAGCTGGTGAGTTGGGCAGGAAAACTACAGCACTTCTTTCTCAGAAGATAAAGGCAGAAATGCCACAGATTAGATTGTGAAAGTAGATGTTGTCTAAGGGATGTCTGATGGATGTTGGGCTTTTTTGTAAAGGAAACTTTTTTAGAGCTGAAAAATTTTAACAATATTTACATCAGTTTTTGCAGAACTCTTTACTAAACGGTTAGTGATAACAATAATAAAATGTATTTCCATCATTTCATCACAGTCATGCAGTTATGCTTTGGGCACACTCACACAGGTTAGTAAGGTCTGCTCACACAAATGCTAAACATTTCTGCATAACAGACCGTCACAGTCCCAAAGCAGCTGTTTGGTCGTCACAGCAACAGAGGCAGGAAATATTCTGTCAATTCCTGCAGCATTTAGCTGTGAGAATCCCACCAAGGTATGACCTGACTTCCTGGCCATGTTGACCAATGTGATGAAATGTGATCATCCAGGATACATGTGATGTAAAGGCCCAT